CAGATGGGTATGGGAAGCGCAATGGACACATTATGTGGTCAAGCATTCGGAGCAAAGCAATATCATATGTTAGGCATCCATATGCAAAGAGCAACAATCGTCCTCACTCTCGTAAGCATCCCCATCGCCTTCATATGGGCATTTACCGGTCAAATACTAATTGCATTTCACCAAGACAAGCAAATATCAACTGAGGCTGGCTTATATGCTCGATGGATGATCCCGTCTCTCTTTGCTTATGGCTTACTCCAATGTCATATAAGATTTCTACAATCACAGAACATAGTTTTACCATTGATGATATGCTCAGGGATCACAACTGTACTTCATATTTTGTTTTGTTGGGCTCTTGTATTGAAATCTACCCTCGGTGTTAGAGGTGCAGCTATAGCGCTATCTATGTCATATTGGGTCAATGTCTTGTTATTGGCACTTTATATCAAATTCTCCCCAGCATGTAAAAGAACTTGGACTGGATTTTCTAGAGAAGCTTTGAAGGATATTCCCAAATTCCTTAAGCTTAGTATTCCTTCAGCTGCAATGATTTGGTAAGTGAGATGTTTTCTCATCAGTAGTTATATTTTCTTGTTAACGGCAAACCGTTAGTTTGACTTCTTCTGTGATTTGAAACAGTTTGGAATTCTGGTCATTTGAGATGCTTGTGCTTCTTTCTGGTCTTCTTAAAAATCCGAAGCTAGAAACATCAGTTATGTCAATAAGGTAAGAATTCGTTTATGAGAAGTCATATACAGTTGATCTCAACTTACTAAATTATGTCACAGTAATAATAACTCACTGCTGAAACTTAAAGCGAATAGAAACTGAGTAGAAGCCATTGATCTCGTTAATTTTTTATTTCAATTTTATTTTTACTAATGACTCACTGAAGAAATTTAAAGCAAATAGAAACTGAGTAGAAGGCATTAGTTTGGGTACTTGCTTATGGTTTCTGTTAAAATCAGAAAAAAGTGGATGACATTAAAGCAAATTTGACATATTGAGCATTCCCTATGTTCTCTATTATAAGTGATATCTCTTCCTTTTTTTTAAATTTAAAAACTGTTCTTTCGTTTCAGCCTCAACACCTCATCAATAGTATTCATGATCACCATAGGTCTTGGTGCGGCAATAAGGTAATCAATCTTCAATCTTCTCACTTAAGTATCTCAAGAAATAAGGAAACAAAATCTTTACAACATTTAATCTCTTTATTTTCTTATAGTACTCGTGTTTCAAATGAACTCGGCGCTGGAAATCCACAAGCTGCTCGTTTTGCAATTCATGTTACGGTATCTATAACCATTGTTGAAGGTTTGATTATGGGATCGATTCTTATACTTATAAGAAACATCTGGGGACATGCGTATAGCAGCGAGAGGGAAGTTGTTACGCATGTTGCAGAGATGATGCCTTTCCTTGCTCTTTCTCATTTGGTAGATGGAATTCAATGTGTACTTTCAGGTATAAACTTTTATCTTAATGGCAAATAACCCACTCTCATTTATACATACGTGAGGGGGAGAGGTTTATCTGCAATTTTCCTTAACGAAATGTCAATTTAGTGGTGATAAGCGCTTTAGTTGCTTATTGCCAAACAAGTAGATATGCAAAAACTAACTTAAAAGGCACTTTTTAACCAAAATAAGCCCCCTCAAACACCCTCTAAGTTGTAATATGGGTCTAACATGTGTATTTACACAGGCACTGCAAGAGGGTGTGGGTGGCAAAAATTTGGCGCTTTCATTAATCTTGGATCCTACTATATTATTGGCATACCGTGTTCTGTGATCTTAGCTTTTGTGGCTCATCTCGGAACAAAGGTGATTTCTTATAGTTTTTTTTGTTGTCCATGTTGTTCTGTTATTCCTTATGATTTTGTTGATTCTATCCAATTTGCTAGGAAGCTTATATATAGTTTCCAAATTGATTAACAGGGTCTTTGGATAGGAATCATTTGCGCGCTTTTCCTTCAGGATGTGCTGTATGTAATTATTACAGTATGCACCGATTGGGAGGCAGAAGTAAGTTTTTGTGCTTCACTTTATTATTTAAGCATACTGCCACTTTTTTTTTTGGTATATATATTGCAAAATCAAAAGAAGGAAGAGAGTACTTGTGACTAGCATAATTTTTTCACACATTTGGCATGAGAATGAATACTATCATAGTAAAATCTAACTTCGATATCAATATCATACTTGTAACTTGAAATGCACTGTTTGCCACAATGGAACAGATAATATGACCATTATGCCATTGCTGTCACTCAAAGACCAACAAAATTACTTTTCTTGTGCTTGTAGAAAACTATTAAATCTATATGGTCTATGTTATGTCAGACTTGAATTTTATGATCACAATCCAATGATGACTTGAAAGTGGGTTGTCTTTATTGCAATTTTTCATTCTTCATTGCAATTTTTCATGAATGTGGCCTCTAGAATTTTGTTATGATAAAGTTACCAACTTCATGTATGACTTCGGATAAGAATTTGAGAGTTTTTTTTCCAAAATTGTGCTCATGATAACTCAATTAGTGAATCTATGCTTCTTCAACATAGATATAAGTCTAACTACAAGTAATTTACAGTGGTAATGCCTTAAAATGAAATGTAGTTATGATCATAAAAGAAAATGGATGGTATGTTTTGGTCTACCTAAAAAAAGTGAATTGATAAAATTTGGTATCAGTTGCTTTTCTCTGGCTTTTTTCATCAATTGTACATAGATTTCTATGCTACTCCACTAAAAAAAACTTTCTTCTTGGATGATAGACCAAATACAAAAATCTATCCTAAGGGATTTTCCATCTTATTGTCATCGAATTTGAGGCTCCAAAATTTTTGTAACACACAATACTCCTTCCAAAAGATAGCAAAAAATGTTCCCTTCAAGTTTTTTGCAGGTTTTTAGTATAGCCAAATGAATTCTCTCTATCTCTTAGTGTGAAGATAAGATGATCTCCTACAAAAATACATGATCAACCAATAACAGGGGCAAGGTGCCCAGAAACTTTAGTAACTAAAGAATATGGATATAAAGAGGAAGGGGAGAAGAAGATATAGTGGGAGGAGATAAGAGGAAAATTTGAAATACTGAAAGAACTAATATCGCTTTGAGTCAAGGCGCCGTGTTGCACCAAGTTGGTCATCTATTTCCATGTAGAGCGATAGTGACATAGCAGAAGGAGAATGATCGAACAATCATGCATACTGTTGGATTCCTTCTTTTAGGACCCATAAAATTATAACCTTCAACTTTTCATAGCAACTTCAAACTTTTGAAGTAATGAAGGAGAATTCAAAAGTACAGAAATAAATATGCATTTGATGCCGATAAAATAAATAAGGTTGACTTTGTCTTAAATGTCTAATTTGCATTTTTTTATCTTATATAATAGCACAATAAAAGATATTATTCTGTAATCACTCTGAATTTTACTGACACTAATTTTTCTATTTTTGTTTACTCACATTAATATTTACTTTTTGACAGGTTAAGAAGGCAAGAGATCGAGTTTATGACTCTGGTGCTCCACATGACTCTACCATTTCCCTAGGAACAACAGCATAAAAGAAAACTTGTTTACATTCCCTTTTTGTGGATAAAGTTCTATATATAGTATGCATGGGTCGTTTTGCTCATGTATGGACCCTTATTTATAAATGGATGTTCACCATTTCCCCTATGGCTCTCCTTTTGTTTTGCTATTATTATTATTATTATTTTGGTTTATGGTAAGTTGCAGGAGTTTTTAGTTTTTTTTGGCATAAAGTGTAGATAGTTTATGTTGTTGAGGATTTAACATCATATGTGTTTGTTTAGTGGAGTTAAATTACAGAAGAGGTTAGTTTTATTGGAATTGTGGCTTGACCACAGTTTCCATGTAAATAAATATATTCTTTATTCTCATCCCTTTCATTTCTGTAATTAGTTATTTCTTTCTTTAATAATCTAAGTTCAAGACTTTTCTTTGACAAAAATTGAACTTTTGAAAGAATTATATATCAATATGTTTCAATAGGAGGTTATAAATCAATACGTATCAGGAGTAGAGCTAATTCCATCTCATAATTGGAAGTTCTAACTCTCACTTCTCTCAGAAAAGTAGGAGGTTTTATATATGCACAAAAATTTTGTACAATTTGCTAACTTTATCCTCTAATTGGCAAGCAGTTGATTTGTAATGGCTCTCTATAACTCATTGGAAATGAAGCAAACTCAGTGAGGCAAGTCCAGTCAAGTTTGGTGACTGACTGAAACATTCATATTACTGAACTCTTTTAACCAATAAAAGATTAAAACATCAACTCTTAATCACAGACTGATAACGAGAGTAGTTACAAAACATAAGCAGAGTAATACAGATGGTGTGGAAAAAAAAAATAGAATTATATCCACCCAAAGCGAATGTAAAATCTAAATAGTTATCTTTTTATGCCGTTTCTCCTGGGCAAATTGCAGAGTCACATACAACAATTGAGTCATAAACTCTTTCTCTTGCCTTCTTAACCTGTCAAAAAAATGAAATAAAAAAATAAACAGTGCAATAATTGAAGATATTCAGGGATATTAAAAGAATATTATCCTTTATATAAGTGTTATGAAAAGATGCAAAATTTGTAAATTAGGCATCTAATTAAGATAGAATCATCATATGGCACAAAAGATTTTCTTCATGCGACGTGTGTGAAAAATTATGCTAGACACAAGTACTACATATAGGAAAAATGAATTGAACTCACTTTCTTGACATGATCATAGAATTGTAACATTATTTAGATTTTGCAGATATACAAAAAATGGAAGTATGCTTTATGCATAAAAGCGAAAGAGTAGAGAAACCTACTTCTACTTCCCAGTCAGTGCGTACTGTGATAATTGCATACAACACATCCTGAAGAAAAAGTGCGAAAATGATTCCTATCCAAAGACCCTGTTAATCAATTTCGAAACCTTATAAGCATCTAAGCAATTTGCACATGAGAAAAAAATCAAAAGGAAGGATAGAATAAAAGAGAATAGAATTTATACGAATTTCACCTTTATTCCGAGATGAGCCACAAAAGCTAAGATCACAGAAGACGGTATGCCCACAAGATAATAAGATCCTAGATTAATGATAGCACCAAACTTCTGCCAACCACACCCTCTTGCAGTGCCTATGTAGATACAAATAGTATTATTCACCCTTAGGCAGAATAAGAATCAAAAAAGAAAATAAATATTAAAATGAAGTTTGATAATAACTTAAATTTGTGAAATTAACTTGATAATTTATTATTTCAATTTAGCATTCTCCTCTATTTAAGTCACAAGTCGAGTTGCATATAAACACGGGTTATCTAAAGTTTTTCATTGGCAAAATATCGATCGTGCAGGAGGATAAGCTCTAATAAAATAATTTACGGGTGATATATAAGTGTTACGGAATTGAGATAGAGTTTGATACCTGAGAGTACACATTGAATTGCATTTACAAAATGAGAAAGAGAAAGGAAAGGCATCATTCCGGCAACATTTCTCACAACTTCCCTTTCATTGCTGTATGCGTGCCCCCAAACATTTCTTACAAGTATCAGAACCAATCCCACACCCAAACCTTCTATAATGGACAGTGATACTACAACATAGACTGCTAAATGAGCCGCTTGTGGATTTCCAGCACCGAGTTCATTTGAAACACGAGTACTACAAAAAAAAAAAAAGAAGAGCAAAACATATTTGATAAAGATTTTGAGTCATTATTCATTATCTTTAAAGGTTGCTAAGTGAAAAGAATGAAAATGGAGTCATGATTCATTATCTTTTGTGGTTGCTAAGTGAGAAAAATGTAAATGGATTACCTTATTGCAGAACCGAGACCAATGGCGATCATGAACACTGTTGACGAAGTGTTGAGACTAAAAATAACAGAAAGAACATGTTTAGAGCTATAGTAGATAAATTGATAAGAGGTTACTACTTATCATAGCTAATTAAAGGAAATGTTCAGTATGACAGTTAACTTCACTCTAATTGTCATCTACTTCACTTCACTCTAATTGTCATCTACTTCCTTTCGGATAGAATCTATAATTTAGTATAACATAACTAAATAGGTTGATTTAAATGTAACTATAAATCTTAGGAGCTTTCTCTATTTATTGTGCTCTTCCAATAATTTCCACCTTTTTGGAGAAGAAATCTACTTGTATATAAGCATTATGTAGCAGAAGGAGAAATATTTATGTATAGCTAAGTAACAACTAGATGTTGTTTGTGCCTGACTAATACTTCACACTTAATTGTGGAGAAGACATCTACTGTTAGCATTATGTAGCTCATGGAGAAATATCCATGTTTTTCAAAGAAACAAGTTGCCCTGAATCAACAGTATGTAACTCAAGGACAAATATTTATGTATTTCAAAGTAACAAGTTGCCATGAGTTTTATATAACTGTAATAATATAGGAGAGAGAATTGAATTTGTAAAGTGCAGTAGTTTGTAGTGTGGAGAGAGAGAGAGAGAGAGAGAGAGAGAGAGAGAGGGAGAGAGAGGAAGAGAGAGAGTGAGAGAGAGAGTAAGATAAATAGTAGTGTGTTGTAAAAGAGTATAGTAGTTTGTAGTGTGGAGTGTTTGTATTGGAGAGAGTATTGAGTTTGTACCACTAAAAAAATAATAAAATATTTCTTAGTATCCACCACTTATTCTCAACTCAATAAGTGGTATCAGAGCAAGACGGTCAGGGACCAGGTCTCTTCTACGGTGATCCTATCGACGTTATAGGCTGAAGTTCGTGCTCAGCCAGGGACTGCGAAGTTGGTTGGTTAGGGACCTCACATGCGTGGAGATACTAAAGCACTACCACATCATGATAGTGGATCTATCAACAACTATTACTACGCTCAAGAAACTCAAATGCAACAACTATAGGTACTAGGAGACGTGTATGAAGTCCTATTTACAAGGACAAGACATCTGGGAGGTCATCGGGGGTTCCGAAACTACAACACCTAGGGAAGCTAGCGAAGTACTAAGGAAGTGGAACATCAAAGCCGACACGGCTATGTATGTGTTGAAGACGAAAGTAAAAGAACATCTCATAAACTACATGCGAGATGTCAGAACTCCAAAGGAGACACGGGATACACTAGCCACACTCTTCTAGAAGAAGAACGACGCTCGACTTCAACTTCTGGAGAATCAATTGATGACATTGCAACAAAATGATCTGATAATCAGTCAGTATTTTAAGCAAGTAAAATCACTCTAGTCAGATATCACCCAGTTAAATCCTGATTCTAAAGTATTAGATGCGAGAATGAGAAGAATAATCATCCATAGTTTGAGATTAGAGTACCATGGGTTGGTTGCTGCTATACATAGTTCATACACCACAAGAGTATGTCAAAGTGAGGAGTAAGGCGATCATCGACCAATGCGACCTGATAGCTGCTACAAGTGTAGGAAAGGACACATCGCCAGAGACTGCCACTACAAGAGAAGACTTGCAGAGAGCAATGCTACAACATTACGTATATGTCAAGATGATGAAGAAAATTGGGATGTCTAAGCGTCCATGTCCATTATTAAAGATATATCAGTCGACGAAGACGAGGTTATTGGTATGACACAAACCTCGATTGTAAAAGAATCTGAGTTCGCATTTGAAGCAATTTTAGATCAAAAAGAAATTAGTTATAATAAAGATTGGATCGTCGATTCTGGTTGTTCCAACCATATGACGGGAGACAAGGTGAAGCTTGTCAACATGAAGGAGTATAAAGGTGACCGAGAAATTGTGATAGTGAATAGTTCAAGATTACCTATCATACACATCGAAAAGACTATGTTTACACTGTGCTACAACCCAAATCAGACACAACTACAAGATGTATACCATATGTAGGCGTCAAAAAATGCTGAAAGATATCCAAACACAGCTCAAAAGGAAGTCATCCAAAAAATCAAAGAAAAGACAGCCTTTACTGTCTCGCACGCGAGACAGTCTTTACTGTCTCGCCGTGCGAGACAGTCCTTACTGTCTCGCCGTGCGAGATAATGTTCACTGTCTCACAGAGCGAGACAGTGTTTACTGTACAGTTTTGAAATGGTCAGAAACCACCTTGAACAACTGCCACACACGTCCATTAACTGTTCAAGAACGTGGGAAACGTCGTGGGCGAGAATCACGTTGATAACTGCCAAAATAACGGAGTTTGAAACGTGGGAAGGCAGTTAAAATGAAAACTGCCTGACGGTTACTGTTTCCGAGACAACATTTACTGTCTCGCGGGCCGAGACAGCAAACACTGTCTCGCCCGCCGAGACAGCAAACACTGTCTCGGCAGCCGAGACAGCAAATGCTGTCTCGCGATTTTGTTTTCTGTCAACTGTTCCTAGGGGCTATAAATACCCCCCGAATGCCATTTCTGACAGGGGCTGATCATTTGGAGCACTTCCGAGCAGACAGAGCAGAGTTCTTGAGCTTACGACCATTCCTTGATATTCGAGCTTTGACTTGATTTCAAGAAGAACGACTATCTTACTTTGATAAGATATCGTTTCAAATTCTCACTTCGATAAACGAAGGAAGAATCATTAAACCCCTCACGATTCAATCAGAATCTGTGATTTGGTGGTCCACGAGTCAAAGCGCTCCCGGCACAGGCAAAGATCCCACGCAAGCAGCGATCCAAACAACGATCCTGCGTTTGTTTCGCAAGAGTTGTAATTTTTATTTTGTTGTGTAAAAGAAGTCTTATAAAAAGGCTATCTCTTTTTGAATTTATTGTAATCGAAAGAAGATATAATGAATTCCATGATAAAACCAACTTTTGACGCAAACACCATGTACCACGTATGAAAATGAACATTCTATCTATTTCTCAATTGACAGCTTCTGAAAGCTATATAGTATTTGGGTCACAAGATGTAAAAGTTTATCCAAACTTGGAGCTATCAGGAGAACCTATCATGGACGAACAGAAGGTAGAATCTATTGACGTGATGTCGACAGAGTCGGTATACATAAATAAAGCCAGAAAGAATGAGACGGTTGATCTGTTGCATGCTCGGCTTGGCCATGTGAGCTATCACAAGCTCAAGATTATGATGAAAAAGTTAATGTTGAAGGGTCTTCCACACTTGGAGATTCGAGGAGGGACCATATGTGGAGGTTATCAGTATGGTAAGGCACATCAATTACCATAACATGAGTCACAATTCAGCACCAAAGAACATTTAAAGCTTGTACACTTAGATGTATTTGGTCGAGTAAAGCAAGAAGCAATAGGTGGGATGCGGTACATGATCACATTTATTGATGTTTACTCAAGATATGTTTGGGTTTATTTCCTAAAGGAAAAATCCGATGCACTTTCCAAATTTAAGCAATTCCAAGAAGAAGTCAAAGGAGAACTCGGCAAGAAGATTCGTTGCCTACGCACAGACAACAAGGGAGAGTACACATTGAAGGAGTTTTACCACTAGGGGAAGCAGCACAAGATTTGGCAAAAGCTAGCATGCCCAAATACTCTGTAGTAGAATGACGTAGCTAAAAGAAAGAATCGCCATCTTGCAAAGATATGTCGAAGCATGCTTCATGCCAAGAATGTGCCATGACATTTTTGGGCGAAGTGTATAAACACTATGACGCACGTGATCAATAGGTTACTACAATCAAATTTGGAGTTCATATCACCCTTTCAGAAACTGTGGAATATCAAACTAATCGTAAGCCATTTTAGAGTTTTCACTTGTGTGTGTTATGTCTTTGTGCTTGATCGCCTTCATAGTAAGTACGACAAGAAGGCCATGAGGTGCATTTTTGTGGGGTGTGTAGTATCAAAAATTACGTATAGGTTCCCGCATACAGTTTAAGACAAAGAGAAGATGAAGAACATCGTAATTTAAGTCAAAGGGGATCATCCGATGTAAAAAAGAAACAAAGGAACATGCACGAAATAACAAAACGCGTAAAATACGACAAAACAAGACAAAATCGGGAAGTCGCAAAACTCCGAGTCACCTCAGAGTGACTCGAAAATTCCGAGTCACCTCAGGGTGACTCGGAATAGTGTCGAGTGACACTGAGGTGACTCGCCTAGTAAACCTCCCGACAACACGTTTTTTGATAAGTTTCTCAAGATTTGTTCCATCTACTACCTCCCTAATTGCCTTGGGGTTATCCCTAAATGTGGTTAAGTCATTTCTAACCGAGGATAAGACCAAGTCACGAATTCTTATCTGAAAACACAGTGTCCGAAGCCCTATAAAGACCCCCCTTCGTCATTTGTGAAGGGTACTGACGAACGTGCGATCCAACTCACATTTTCCAAAGAAGAGCCACGAGTTTTAGAGTCCTTAGGAGAGATCTTGGCAAATTCCTATGTATAAAGAGAGGATTTCGAGAGATCTACAACTGTTTTACCCTTCCCTTGAGATCAAACTTTGTTTAATCTCGAGAAGAGGTAGTAATCTCACTTTATTGAGGTTGTTTACTTATGTTCTAAGTTTCCTCATTTGAAATAAAGAACATCAATCCCTCGTACCAATCAACCCGGATCTGACACTCGGCGGTCCACGGATCAAAGAGTCCCCGACACAGGCAAAGATCCTACACAAGCACATTCAATTAATGATCCTGTGTGTGTTTCTAGGAAGTCTTTGCTTAGTTTATTTGTGAGTGAGAATTTATTGTATTCGATAAACGAGTTGTAATAAGTCCAGCAAATAAAATGATTTCCGATGCAACACGCTGGCGATCACAGTAGGAGCCAACAGCCTCGCTATCGAGGCTGTCACGTCGCAACCGAAGATTAAGGTCCTGTTGATTCAACGGTCGAGTACGAATTCGACCAAGAGAAGTTCAAGGAGTACCTCTCATCCTCCTCCTCAAGATCCTCCTCGCCCCACGA